AAAATAAAAAGTAAATTATTATGCAAATCAGATAATTATCATGGATAATTTATGCAAATTAGTAATTAATATGCAAATATTGTTAACCAATCTGGTATATGCATCTATATATCAAGTTTCATTGAAATGTGATGATTAGTACTTGAGATACAAGTGGAAAAGTCGAAATTGACTAATTGTTATGCAAATTAGGCAATTAATATGCATGGAATTTGTACCCCAAAATAATCAGATCTGTGCATGGCCCTAGATCACCTATGTACCAAGTTTCATTAAAATGGGATGATTCGTACTTGAAATATCAAAAGCTAAAAATTGAATAAATTAGGTAATTAATATGCAAATATTATTAACCTAAAACCAGTCAGGTCTGTGATTGTCTTATGACATCTATGTACCAAGTTTCATCAAAATGTGATGATTAGTACTTGAATATGAATGAAAAGCCGAAAATTGACTGATTGTTATGCTAATTAGGTAATTAAATAAAATGCATTGATTTTTACCCGAAAATACTAAGGTCCGTGCATTAGTCCACAGCATCTATGTACCAAGTTTCATCAAAATCCAATGAGTAGTTCTTTAGATATCAGTGGAACTGCTAAAAATTAGCTAATTATCATGCAAATTAGGTAATTAATATGCATAGATTTCAACTAAAATCTATTCAAATCTGTGCATTAGCCCAGAGCATCTATGCATCAAGTTTCATCAAAAACCAACATATGGTTCTTATGAGATATCAGTGGAACAGACAGACATGCACCCATACAGACGCACTACCGGTAACTGCAAAAACTCCCATTGTGTGCTTCGCACATGGGAGTCAAAAACCAGAAACAATCACCTCAAACACTAAACCTGATACTGTATTGCATGGTAAAATTTCAAGTCAATCTGTGTGAACGTAACATGAACCAGAAACCACCCACACCAACCTTGTAATGCATTGCATGGTTCAGTTCCAACTACAGTAAAACAAACTGACGTGCATCAGTGAGAACCAGGAGCCATATCAACACCAAGTTTGAATGAAATTGGTCCAGGCATGTCTGAGAAATGGCCACTAGTCGGCCAAAGGTCAATGAAATTGAAGACTAACATGCATTTGTCTTTCATTTGTACAAACTTCGAACAAAATCAATCCAGGCATGTCTCAGAAATAAATCACACAAGCACACAGACCTTAACATTTCTTCTGATGAGGACAAACTAGTAGATAATTGTGACTTTCAGAAAGAATATTTACATAACCTATATTAGATGAGCATCATCAATAGAAGTGCATGTAAACCAGTAGACAAAATATCTGCTACCCAGGATAGGGGGGGGGGGGGTAAAGGATTTTTTTTTAACAAGGGAACAGCGCCCACATCCCATGGCCATGCGCCCCCCTTGGCCTGGAGAGCAGATCCTCGGGCAACCATGTGGCCAGTCTTCAACTGTGACCTGTCTGATAGTAATTTTGGCCCCAAGGAAGCCATAGAATGGTCCATTTTAACTTAGAATTATCAAAAACTCCACACCCTGGTAGGGGGAACACTATCTCCCCCACTTGGTGGCGCCGCTGCATTGTAGTGCATCCTCTTGCAGTTTTTTTCTAGAAAAACCCCTGATAATTACATAAAAGAAAATTAATTAATATTCATGTTCCTCAATTAATAATACATGTACTATATTAATCTCCCTTAATGTCCCTTTTTGAATAATATACGGGTACTGCAAAATACTTTTTTTTTCAGCTGGAATTATTATGTTCGCTGAAAAGACATTTTGGCATTTTGGGGGATTTGAATTTATAAGAACAAGCAGCATGTTGGCTGAGATAGCTCCGCTGTTAGCAATGCACATTTCAATTAAAGAACTGAAGATATCATTAGAAAATAGTATCAAAGCAATCAGACTTGCTGTTTTCAACAAGAATTCAAAAATATCACTTTCCACCAAAAATGAAATGAACAAATCTAAGAAAGGTCTACCCAAGGTACATATACATCAAAGCATTCAGGCTTGTAGTTTTCAAGAAGAAGTCGAAAAAGTAAAACATTGACACTAGATTTTATTTGTCACCGGTTTATCCCTTTAGCAAAGATAGTGAAAATAAATACCAAGTGAAAATAAAGTATTTTACAGTAGCATAAAATAATTAAAAATTCCAAACAATATACTGTTACATACGCAAAATAAAATACTAATCAGGAAAGGTACACTTTTTTATTTATATTACGAAATGAAATCAACATATCAGTTTACTACATTTAACTAATAATATCAAACAGCAACCATTCCTGAGTAATTTGTATAATTACCCGGTACTAATTTCCAAAACTCAATTTCAAGTCTCTTACATGATATGATATAAGTACGATTCGCAGCTGATATGTATGCTCCAACCAAAGTCAGCTGGCGCACACATGATAATAAATAAATGCCATATTTACTATATGGGGCCGCCATCTTGAATGCGACGTAAAACTAAATAAGAGACAAGTTGTGAAACGAGTTTTTCAGATTTCTACAAATCAGGACAAAAATGCCAATCTTTCACAGAAATACATTCCGTTGAGGTAACCAAAAATTGTCATTCCAGCTCAGCAGCCAATCAGCGACTGCTTTACAGTCAGATGACAATTTTGGTTTCAAATACCCCAGGAAAGTGTTCTATGTGTAATTAGTTGTTCTTATGCAAGGGATTTTTCCACACAAAAACGACGAATTCAACCGAATTTTGTTATCGGTTGGCTTAATATTACCCCAACAGATCGTATTTCTGTGAAAGATTGGTATTTTTGTCCTGATTTGTAGGAATCTGAAAAACGCATTTCACAGTTGTCTCTTATTTAGTTTTATGCCGCATTCAAAATGGCGTCCCTCAAATAGTAAATATCGCATTTATTTTATTATCACGTGTGTGCCAGCTGACTGTGGTTCCAACAATGTGAAAAGGTTTGGCAAGGTTTTGAACTCAGATAGTCAGCAATGGTCTTCATTTTCTAAGAGCCAATCAACAGACCATGAAGAAGATATTAATAAAGTTTAGTTCGCATTATCAGCATTACAAATACCCTTATTCTGTCCACTTAATTCTATGTCTAACAAATGTTTTATTTCAGCAAAATTTTACCCTGTATCTTAGCAACTGTACATGTTCGTCACATCAAAATTTACATTTCACATTGATTGATAAGACTTCCAAAATTTGATAATACGATAAAAATTGTTTGAGTTATTATAACCCCATTAAGTATCCTTGAAAAAATATACATTGCACACAAACCAAAATTGAACATGGTCGAGAGCCCAACTGAATAAAAAAAGTTTTATGACAGAGTCAATAATGACAATGACAAAAACGACAATGATCTCGTTTTCCTCTCATATACAATTGACCTTCATCTACCTACTATGATATAGACAAGGTAATAAAATGGGCAGGATATCTACTTTTAATATACACTGTATCATATTTTTAGCTAATACAGAATCCATTGAACAAAATAAAATAAAATAGGCAGGAAATTTAGGGCAGGATAGCTACTTTTAATATATCATATTTTAAAGCTAAAACAGCATTATTTGAACAAATTTTATATTTTTAGCTTGTTCTACGAGAGAAGTTTATGCACTGTACAAAATTTGCCAAATTTAGTTGTAATAATTT